TGTGGGAACTGAATTAGCTGGGATAGATACTACCTTGGACCAGGTTCCTAACACGGAGGGAATAAACCTAAAGCCTTGGGAGGTGGAGTGCTGGGAGGATGCTAGTGGAGTCATTCCATAATAGGTCATGTCCCCGGTCTGCGTTAGTGATTGGATCCCTGCCCTCAGGTACCCATATGTAATTCTAGGTTAACCACACCCCCAGGTCTTTGGAAGCAGCCCCTCGGACCACGTGGTCCCTGTAAACATTAAAATCTATCTTTGGGCACTCCATCGTACCTGTCCCAATTTATTCTGCCAAGCTCAACCCAGCCGAACTGGGAAAGAGAGGTCTCAGAACCCCACTTTGACAGAACTCCTTCAATTTCAATTGATGGGTGAATACTCTGGCTCCACAAGTTTCTAAAGCACCAATCCATGGAAGGGGTATGCCCTTAGGATGCCCTGTTCCTATGCCCTTTGCTAAGCATCTCCCACAGCCAATGCCAAAGATAGCAGCCTGAGATACTAGGACCTTGCTCTGCTAAGGTATTTTTTATGTGACAATCAATGCAATCATAAAAATAGAGAAGAAAATTTTCTTGGCTGAAGTTTAAAAATGTAAGATTCAAATGTCAGGAAAATGTATGAAAGTTCTTCAGAAATGACTGTAAAGAGAAATGAAAACTTTGAAATACTTATGTAGACCAACCTCAGTGTAGGGAGGCAAAATCCTGATTCCACCTTTGCAGTAAGCAGAGGAACAGGCTCAACTTAAAAGGTGCTGAAAGGAACCTCCAGAGGCTCCCATCACAAATGACCATGCAAATCAGCATCCTGAAGTGATAATAGCTCCACCAGCTTTTCTCCAGGAACCCATGCTTATTTAGGAGAAAAACTTTTTTTGACCTTTCTTCCTCACAGCCTCCTGATTGTCAAGGCCACAGATCTCCCCTGTTGTTCCACCTACCCTACCTGGCCGGGATGCTTGTAGAAACTCACATTTTCCTTTTCTGTTCTTTGAGTCAGAAACATTCAAAAACACATTCAAAATAAACACAACTCCCAGCAGGCCTAGGCAACTCCGTGAGTGAGGAATTCGGCATGAACAAACCTTCTGTTTAGTGCATGCTCTGTTGAGTCAACAACAGCACAGGCTTTAAAGTAGCACTACTGTGTTTAAAGCAGTCTACTATGTAAAATGTCAGGTTGTTTCTACTCTGGAAATATTTTACATTCCGTTCTTTCTGCAGCATTAGTAGTTCCACATCCTGTTTAAGGCTCTGCATCTGAATGGGACTCGCAATTACATGAGTCACTGCAACTATCCTTTGATTTTTATTTTTTTTTTCCATTTGGTACATGTGATCTGAATCCAGAACTGCTAGAGCCTGAAGCTTGCTTTGCACACTCAAAATGCCACAACAAAATGGGCTGAAATGCTCATTCCAAACATTAAGTTTGGAGCTGCTTGTGGCAAGCAGCACAGTGTTTTTTCACTGCTGTCTCTTCCTTGTGAAGGGTAGTGGAGAAGCAGAGGGGATTTCACCTTGAACACAAAGCCGTCCCTAGAGTGCCAGCTGACAGAATTTTGTGGTTCTCTTTGACATCCTTCTGGGTCAACCCAAGGCCAAACCTGTGCTCCAGAGGCTCCAGAGGCTTTTCAGGTAAGTACAACACACCCATCTGGATGAATATGTTTGAGTGGTCAGCTGGATCATGTGCCGAAGAGCCTGATTGAAACAGGCCAGAGCCAACTTTCTCCATGTTTTGTGGTCAGGTTGGCAGTGTAGGTTATTAAAGAAAATGTCTTATTCACATTTGTGAAAAGCTATATTTGAAGCCTACTCACAGTGGCTTTTCTGGGAAAACAATTTTTCTACGAATGGCAGTTACAATTTTAGGAAAGAAGCAGTGTGGATATTTTCAAATTCAAATCAAAATTTGGTGCAAAAGAAGAGAAGAAAGGCTTGAGAAGAAAAGATCATGACAAAATACTGTAAAACAGGTAAAAAACTGTCTTCTTTTTTTGTCTCCTTTCCCATAATTTTCAAGCTAGCTTCTTACTAGAAAAGCTGCTTTCCATCTAAACTTCCATCACACTGTCAGTGTAATGCAAAAAAGCACTGTCTGAAAATAGAGCTTTTCTTTTACCAGAGGATAATTACTAGTTGTTCACTGTCTCATTATAAAATTCTAGTAAAGGCAAGGATTTTGCCATGAAGATGATAAAAAGCATCACTATTATACCTTATACAGGAGAAACTATACTGTTTCATCTGTCCTCTGCCCCTGGAAGCCCACCACTTCTCTGGAAGACAAGGTAGAACACAAAACATCTTCCCTTCATTTCTACAAGATCTATCTGCTTTAAATCGAGAGCTCTGTAGGGTGGGAAACTGTTAGGAACTATGCTATGTATATGCATTGTAAAGAACTTTGTTAGATCAACAATGTGGCAAAAAACCCAAAAAACCTCAAAGATAGTAATATCAAAGCCTCAAGTGTAGGTCCCAGGAATGACAGCATAATTATTTTTAGAGATGACTACAGCAGTAACTCCACATGACATGAGAGACTGGAGAAACAGCAAGCCTGATTTAAACCAATGGGAAAGCCAGGAATACAGAATGGAGACTGTTCCTAATGCACCATATTGCATCTGAACATTTTGTTCCTACCCATCTATCCAAAGTATGATGTTTTGCATTTCATATTAACATTCTGAAGACATTAAAGAATTCTTCAATTCGATGTTCATATGCTGTGTCAGAACTCACACTCCGACTGCTTAGAGAGATGCTATGTCTACCTTTTACTCATCTTCCCTCCCCCAGTCTCGTAACCATCCTCCTTCCCACTCCCCAAAAATCCCAAGGTCTACTCTTTAATGGGTGCATTATTTAGTTCAGCAGAAAGTTGGTTACAAATATGGTTTGTGGGATTTGGACTTCATTCACTGGATTTCTCTGTACTATCTCAGCTGTTATGCATATGTTCTAAGACTGACTGCTAACAAATCATCACAGTCAAACTTGAGGTTCTTATACTATTTCTTATCTTCAAAGCACTTTAAAATTTCCAAGAGGTTCTACAAAATCTGGGAGAGAAAGAGCTATGGGCAAAAGTCTTTGTTTAGCATTGGTCTTAATATAAACCACAGTTAGTCCCTTTCTGTTTAGCACTACAGCAGGAATGTTGCAGCCCTCAGATTTAGGTCTGAAGTGCTAAATAATGCTAAATTGCCAATAACACATTTACACTGAAAAGTATTTAAAATACTCTTTGTTATATGGATAGCTCTCTTCAAAAGTTCTGTTCTCACCTTTGAGTTCAAAACTAGGGAAACAGTGACATTAGCATAATGTCTTGAGAGATGGATTTATGTATCAAAATAAAGGACATTTTGACTTCAGAAAGTTTTGTTAACAAAAAAGTCATATTTCATAGGAATAAAATAAGAAAGGACATAACCAGGAATCAAAATATTTTTTAAAGGTAAAACTAATAATGCGTCACTAATTCCTTCAGTGTTCAAAGCAGAACAGTCAGCTTTTAATAGCTGAAAGGAAGCCCTCGCTAATTCTCTGGCTAGCACTGGAAACAACAATCAAGAGAACTTGAAAGTGAATCATTACAGACTTTACTTCTTATCACACACCAGGGGAAGAATTTTTCTCAGTTCATAAGAAAATGCTCCGTCCCCTTCAAACAGTGAACCCTTCAAACAGTGAACCATTGGTTTGCAGGAGCTCCATGCCCACACTGCACATGCACTCTTCAGAACACACCCAGGTTCTTGGTGCCCAGGCACAGCTACTGGGTGTTGTTCTTAGCTGTGGGACCACTTCCTGCTGAGAACATGGGAATGACCCTTCTGGCTGCATGCTCAGCACTATGCCCACCAGGAGCAGCCCCTGAAAGTCAGACAGCATCAAATCAAGTATTTTAGGAGAACTGCTACAAGCTATTTTCTTCTTTTGACTGGCTGAGTCAGGCTTGCTAATTTTTTTCATTTACCACCATCAAAAAATGAGGATGAAATTAAACAAAATATAACTTTTTACTTAGTGGTAAATAAATATGAAAATGCAAAAAATAAAATTCTCTATTTCTCATGTATTCCACTAAACATGCAATCCAATCCAGCCTTTACACTTCAAAGCATGACTTGTATTTCGCATGCTTTCTAGGGCACAGAGTTCTGTGGCATAATTAATACAGGCCGCAAGTTTGAAACATAGAAGTTCAACTGGTTCTTCTGAGGTCATTTATTTGGTTGGATTCCTTTTGAGCATGAAACATTTTTATAATGTCTGACAAAATATGAAAACATTCTCAGATGAAAGGATACGTGCATTCCAGAAAAAATTCTACTGAAATCTAAAGGAACTCTTCTTGGGAATACTGAAGTGCAAACTCTTCATTTATGCAATTTTAATATGGTGGAAAGAAAGAAGTGTAAGCTATTAAATTTGTTTTAAAGCTTAGAAAGAAAATTAAAACAAAATAACATACATCTTATTAATGAATAGCTACAGTGCAAGGTGTATAATCACATGTTAATTAAATTCTCTCCTAATTATATCTGCAGTGCCTCAAAATGATATTTTCTCTCTATGTATTTTCCTTGTAGCAAGCAACATTTCCTGAAAAATAACATAGGTGTAAAGCAGAAACTGTTAAGTATTTCACAATTGGAAGAATTAAACTGCAGCTTTTTTTAACAAAGTTAGAATTTGTATTCAGAAATAAACTGAACTTCAACATGTTTTAATTATGTGTCCTTCTGTTTATAATCAACTTAAATCTAAACTAAACAACATCACTGGCAGAACACCGTAAATTTGAGGGACTGGGATGGAATACTACTGGAATGAAAATCTTTCCAATACTGTTAATGAAATGTTAACCATTTTCCTCTACACAGAAATAATCTGGTTCAGGTAGCAAGCCAGCCTTTGTGAGTATCATCCCCTACTGCCCAATTCCTGAAAAACCCAGCATCATCTTTCTTATCTGGCTATTTAGGACTTGTCAATTTTTCTGTTCTCCAAGTCTAAGCTTCTTCCTGCATTTGCAGCTTTTCATTTATGGCTGCCTGTAAAGAAAATCAGAAGAAAGAAGTGGTTATGATGGAGCTATCTTAGGCTACACATTGTTTTTGTGGTTTTGACACGGTGTAGTGCAGCAAGGCAGACATTATCCTCCACTTTCCAGTTTTGCTGACAGGACGGTGTTCCAGTCTATCCTATGTGATAACACGTTATCATATTGCTGTGCACAATTCCGATGGATGGCATAGCTGCCATGAGCAGGAAGCGATCTGGGACACACATTCGTCATGTAACCTTGTCTTGTGAGACAGGCTAATTTTCCTCTATTCTCAGACAGCCTTTACCAATAGACACCAAACCAGAAAAATTGCTTTGGGACCTGGTTGTTGCCATTGTTTTCCTTTGCTGCAGATGTTTGTTCTCTAGTGTAACATATTTTATTGAAACAGTGCTGGAATTAAAAAGCATTACTGAAAATGAACAATAAAAAAACATATTTCTGTGATGCTACTTGCCTGTCTTAATTACAAACACAATGAATATGTATCTCATTCTGGAGATCCAAACTGCTGTAGACACTGAGTGTTTAATTTGCAATGTAACATTTGTGGGGAAGGTACAGTGGTTGTGATGTATTCTAATGAAATCTTTGGCAGTGACAACGCATAGCAATCTCTGATTGTATGGCATTTGAAAATGTGGGATCACTGTAAAAAGGGCGACAAACACTGGTGGTTTTATAGGTAATTTACATATATTTTTCAGTATGAACATTGATTACTGCAAAAATACAAGAGAAATGGAAGGAGTGCAATGACAATACTTCAAAGAGTCATCAAGTTCAAACAACTGGGACAGGCTCACAGGTCTTCTACAGAGTCTGCGTAAACTGTTCCAAACCTCAGAGTAACAGTCTTAATGGAATTCAGGTAATTTTGATAAAGCAAATGGATTCTTACCAGAAGAGCTTGCAGTAACCTGACATTTTAGGAACTTTGTGGTTTGCCAGTCCTAGAAATCCCCATTAATGCTATTCTGCAGTATATCAATGGGTAACCACAGCTGAAATGTTTTCAAAGTTCTCAGTAGCTCAGATGGGAACCAAAAGGCTGGAATTTCTCTCTCAACTTTGTATCTTTGGAGATGGCCTTCACCATATTCCCATATTCAATCCAAGTATCATCAAATATGTCTTCATCCCTTTACGTGATGTGTGTACTAGGTTGCTGGAACAGTGATCATCTAGATCCTCCATACGCCATCACACTTCTCTATGGTTGCTGAGACCACTGAGTGTCAGCACTGTCATAGCAGACTAAAAGTTATTTTCTAGACTCAATTACAGCAACAGCTGTCTTGTTAATGTATATGTCGAGACATAATACAGATTGTGAAACCATATTTCACACGTAACAAAATATGGTATGAGTCTGATCATGAATCAGGTAAAAATCCAATTACAAGATTACTTTGGAAGTCAAGAAACTGAGAGAACAGGTTAAAATGATACACTGGTGAAAAAAATAAAACCTGAGGGGAAATTATTTTCTTTGTATACAACCAGAGTTGCAAAATGAAGAAAAAAAAATAAAGCATTTTTCTCATCTGTGCAGTTCTGTAAAGAAAAAACACTCTTAGCACTGATGTTAATGGCATAAATGTCAGGTGAAAACCAGGTATTTACTGTTTTCTATTGGTAGGGACAGGAGTAAGATAACACAGGCCAGAGATTCCCTCCCATTTCTAAGGACATGTTGAAATGGAATATAAACCCAAATAGGTAGAGCTAATGATCTAATTGTTCTAATTCATACAATAATTCTAATTCCTGTTCCCCACTGATGCATAGTCCAAGTAAGACAATTTACCAATAACACAGTATTTTCAGATAATATTAGGTATTTATTGAACTGGTGCTTAGTCAATAGTGTCTAATGTGCTGTATCTGAAGTTCAAAGTGCCTAATGCCACCTGGTTGTTGCCAATAAGGCCAAATTCCAGCAATCCCTTGGTGCAAATCTGTTCTAGCAGGTAGACTTTCAATCATTTCCTGTTAATTCCAGTGACAGTAGCTTCCTTCCCTTCCATGAGCCTCACAGAAAGAAATCATGGACCCCTCAGAGTCTGTAGACCACATACTGGCAGCTGATCTGTTTCATTAAGACAGCTCTTGTGTAGTCACACACCTACCAGAAAAAGCCTAAAACTGGCATAAGTAATTTTTTACACAAACTGGAGGGCATGTAACATAGATGCATCTAACAATTTATATGAGGCACACATTGCATATACTCCAGCACAGCAGCTGGTCCTGAACCCCTAAGAAGGAACTTTATCACTGTCATCACTGAGAGCAGGATTTGGCCCATGTTTTTGACACATAGTAAGGTTGAAGATATATGTTGTCATATTTCTGAGTATTTTTTATCTTATCATATGTAAGCTGACTAAACTAGGAGTTATTTATAGAGGCTAATTCACATTTTTACAGCATATGAATGTGCTTTTTGCCAGCTTTAGCACAAGCACAGTTTATACTCATTAAGACTGAGCTAGCTAATTAACCATAGACAGAATTAGTGAAGAGCTTTCTAGTAATAGTACCTCAAGGTTGCCAATAATTTCATTTGGGATTTCACACACTGCAGACTTCTCATCTTCAGCAGCAACTCCAGTTACAGCATCCACCTCAGAAGATGCTGCCTCTGGACAGGACTCTTGCAGGTAATCCCCCTTGTCAGACCCCTAACAGCAACCAGCCACAGGAAAAACTGAGTTAGAACATCCTCCTGCCCTCTGTTTGACCCAAAAACACCAGCACAAAGGCAACAACACACAGAGCTGCTTTTGGGAAGTGCTGCCTTGACAGACACCATCGTGATTCGCTCACACTGCATAGGCGAGGCAGACACAAACTCCCACAGGGTGAGAGCCCAGAGTGGCTCACTCAAATAAATGTCCTCTGCTGTCTGACTAATGCATTATGAGTAATTTTATTTAATTTTATTCAATCTTAGAAGAGAATGTATGGTATGTTTTAGAGAATAAATCCATCAGTGGCTGGGATCCAATGGAAATTTGTAGAAAAATAGCTTTAAAAAACCCAAAATAAACTAAAAGGAACAAAACTATACCTGAGATTCTGTCGCTGAAGCTGAGGGGGAAACTGCAGGTTGGTCAAGTTCAATCTCATTCTGGTAGTATTAAATAGAAAAAAAGAAAAAAAAGTAAGTCATATTTAATTATTGCTCAGAGGTTTCTCACAGGTTTTTTTTTTTTAAATGGAAATGAAATGGCTGGCAAACAACAAAAAACATTACCTTTTCTGTTACTATCCAGGTGCTCAGAACTGGAAAGCATTCTGAAAATGATTATAGATCAGCTTTAATTTCTAGTTGAATCTCAAGGGGCCTTCTTTATAATGCTTGCAAAGAACAGATGATTTTCATAATTTTGTAACAGTACAGCTTCTTACTCATGAGGATAATTACGTTTAGAAAACACAGTGCTTAGATAACATTCTGTCTTCCCAGTGCAAATTTGTCACTCTTGAACAGGGATATTGTTGCAGTTTGGAATTGCAGGGCAGTATCAAAGGAGTAAGTTGGTGTGAAGTTGCATTGAACCAAATAAGGCCCTAAGGAAAATATTTTAATATGCAACTATAATTTAAGAGTTGTTAATGGTCCAAGTTTCAATGCTTCATCTTGTTCCTTTGCTGTGACCATGGGAACCTCAGTGGTGTTCTGCTTCTGTGTGACTTGCAGCTGCAGGAATGCTCTGACAAGGGCACGGCTTTTCCCCCTTGGAGCAGCTGGATGAAGCATCAAGTCCATGCTCAGGTTACCAGGAGTGATGCAGAAGGAGTTATGCAGCCCTGTGTCCTCTAAATGGACAAGGTTTTGTGTCCCACTTTAAAAAAAATGGATGACAGAGAACATATGTGCCAAGTAGGGTGAAAAAGGCATTTGTCACCAAGCAAGGAGTAGGGTACAGCACTGAAATGGTGTGTTTGAAGCCTCCACAGGGGAAGTGCCCATAGAGAATACAAGGCAGATGTTCCAGTTCTGAGTCAGTGATTACAAACAGGATTTTGCTTGAATGGTATAAGTAAATGACATTAATTCACATCAAGGTAATTGCAGTTCCCATAAATTAACTTCCTCAAACTTTTGAAATTGTAGCTAGGTTGATATTTGATTTGGGCCATTTAGTTATTTTCTACAGTTAACATGCTGAAAATACTAAAGCTTCTATACATCTGCAGAAGTGATAGCAACAACTGAAAACAAAAAGTTCAACCTAGCCACTTCATTACAATAGAAATCTCTTACTTCAGTCCTAAAAGCTTTTCAGAACTTCTGTTTGGACTCTGTCACTACCTCAAAGGTTCCCTGCTATGTGTGAGCTCAGTAAAGTAGGTAGATAGTATTACCCATGTTTATAAATACCTAAAAGGCTGACACAAAGATTTGCAGATTTTAACTGCGAATAAAAACAGTTATAGAATCATTTTCCTCTATCACTTGTAATTCAAATTTTCAGTACTTTGTTACTTTGTTAGTGCTACATGCTCCCAGAAGAAATCATCAGAAAGCTTGGGTTCTGTATCAAAATGAAAAAAACTGACCCAAATTGTACTTCTTTCAAAAATAAAGACACTTTATTTTCAAATTCCATTTTTTAAAAACTAGAGCTTTTTTTATTTAGCAGCTATTTCCATTTTCTCTGATTTCTTACCTTATATTTTCTTATTAAAAAAATTAGCTGAAGTAGATGAGAATTCAAAATTCCTTTCTGCTTCCTCAAAATACTATTTTTTTGCTTAATTAGTTACCTATTCACTCAAAATATTTTTTAATTTAGATTAAATTATTATTTAATTTATTCTCTCCAGTCCAGCAAATTTAAAAAAAAAAAAGAAAAAATTTAAAAAAATTATGTCAAAAAATATACCAGGTTTATAGAATCAATTCCAAGCCAATCAAATACATTTTTATTGCATGGATAAGATTTTTAGAGGCTGTTTTTCTGAATAATATTTTTACTTCACTGCGTCTTTTTACAGAGAGCCATTCTTTACTCATCTGTTCCATGTCTAATAATAACCCTTGGATCATTAAGAAATAACTAAATTACAGCAGAACTAGTCTCTTTAATGAGCCACAATAGTCCCAACATTCAGCCAAAAGTTTTTTTAAAGACTGTGAAACTTCAATGTAGAATATCAAGCATTTTGTTTAGCAATAACAGGTTTATGAGCAGGACTACAGTTTACAGCCAAAATATAGTAACCTAAAAATGCCATTCGCCATTGCCCTTTTCTATACATTGTGTCCTTAACAAGTCCAGGGGAAAAGTAGAACGAATTAATTGTGGTGAGAGCCTGAAGCCAACAAACGTATTTAAACTAATCCTTCTGATGCAATACTTTCCTTTAAAAAATACAATTAAGTCTTTGTGTTTCCTTTGAACAAAACCTCATGTTTATTAGCACCAATGGCTCTGTAGTAAAATCTATTTAAAAACAGAGAAGGAGACACAGTAAGTTTTATAGTTACAGAGGTTTTAAAAAATGTTGCTAGTTTCTGAAGTCTGAGTAAATTTATGGTGAATTACTTCCACTGACCTACATTAAAAACTTCAGCCTCCTTTTTTAATTCCTGAAGATTTTTCATTATGTGAGCATTATTCACTATGACAAAGATGTATTACTCAAAGTGTTCTCTTGAATCAATATAATTATCAAAATGTGAGAAACAGTTTTGAAAGATGATAATGCCTTAAAAATTAATTGGCAATATTTTTCTGCACATTGCAGTCCAGTGGGTCCACAGGAATTCAAACATAAAGACATTGTGAGGCAGTTGCACAAATGTAGCCAGCATATCAGTGTCAGCTGCTCTGAAAGAGATTGAAGGGACAATTAGGTGCACTATTCTTACCAATTCTGAGGTGATGTGGGGTGCCAGGAGACCACCTGGCCAGAAGAAGTCAGCACAGCTTGACATGGGACTGATGGGTCAGCACCACTTACCCAGCCCAGTGGCACCAGCCCAGCTGAGAACTGCAGCTGGTGCAGACACTGATCTCAGAACACAGCCTCATGCCACAATCCTATTCTGGAATTCTTTCTGGTACAAGTGTGCATAAAGACATAAAAAACACTGTTTTGTTCTGCATAAAAACTCACACACTTTCCTTCTTGAGAGGTAGCAAATTGCCTTTTTACAAATGTAGGCAGAGAAAAGACAGTAAAATACTACACAGGGAAATTTCTAAAACAGAATAATGACAGGAAAGAAGATTGGTAAAACATTCTAATAGATGAGTTCCACAGATGTGGTAGTTATTATAAAATTAGCTTTGCATAATTTACCAATATACCATTACATTTTTCCCCAGATGTTATCTGTTACTTAAATTAATTTTTCTTAAGTTACTATTATTGCAGATTTTATCCATGCTGTATTTTATTATTTAAAGTTTCTGCGGCATATAACAAGCCCTGGCTGATAGTGTTACTTTTAATAACATATATATAAGAGGTTTTAGTATTATAGAAATGGCTGCTGGGTAATAGTCATAGCACAGAACGTCTGCTCTCAAAATATTATGTAGATTAAAACTAGCTATTTACTTACACTCTAATGCAAGGCATTGGAAAGGTTTGCAGTATTTATGTATGTGGTATGAAGTGGAACAATCTACTCCAGGAATAAATATCAGAGTTTGGAAATTAGCAAACATAAGGTCAAGGTCAGTTTGGCTTTACTTGCTGAAAATGAGAATTCACAGTTTATGTTTACTTATTTCATAAACAAGAAAAAAAGACTGAGGTGGTGATGCATTTGCCTCTTTGATAGAAGGCTTTTGCATCACAGAAATATTTTAAAACCACCTTCTCATCTTGATATTACCTGAAATTCTGTACCCCTTTCCACACAGTCTTAAAAAATTCTCTGCAGCTTACCAAACACAGGAAAATAATTATTTATAAAAATTGGAAGAAAGATCCCACGTTCAGCATGGACCATTTCTAAAGCCTTGCAACATCTTTCCAAGCCTTTCAATTGATACAGGTTTGATTTATACAAATGGCAGATGAGTTTCAAAAAGGGAGTTATTTGTGCATTATTCTCTATATTCCTATCACCTTTGTAGTTTATACTTATATGCCAGGGGATCTTATGCTACCAGATGCCTGCACAGGTTTCTCTCATATATATGTGATATTTTCTATCAAACAAACTCTGTAATACAGGACATATTAGTTTGCTGCTCATGCTAAGCATGGCTGGCCACACACCTACTAATGAGCTGAATTTCATTTGCTGGAATAAAAGGCATTTTCCAGAGATTACATATCATATTAGAAGCCCATATTTCATATGGTTGAATTTGAATGGATACCTAATGGACAGAGATGCACCGACTCAAACCAGCCTGCTTTTTTTTACCCCTTCCCTTTAACCTGCCAGCATATACAAACACAACAAATCCACCCCACCTGCCTGTGGAGTCATTGCCCATGTGTGATGGAGGTTCCTGGGGGGCTGCTGATAGTTCTACAAATACATCTGCCATCCTCTTTTGCAGCATTTAGTACATGAGGTCCAAAGGACCAAAGGATTTGATGAAGTACTCAAAAACTTAATCCAGATATCTGATCTCTGTGGTATGACTGAGGTGGCAGAGCTACCTCCTGCACACCCTTGCTACACACATTTGTATTAATATTAAAAGTAGATTTAAGATCAATGAGGGCCTAAAACTCTGCCTCTGAAGGATGTTTCGTGGTTGCTAATGATGCACATGGAAATTCTGTGTGCATGTTCCTGGGCAGGAGTTTTCAAACCCCTATTCCTACAAGAGACAGAAGTTCAGTGAGTCAAAAGTAGGCTTTATGCTCTTTTTCCTGTATTTCAAAATCCAATTCAATATGTTCTAAAAGAGTTTTCCATGTTTCTGATCTGATACAGATGTGAACTGACTTTTTTGGCAATACATTAGTAAAGATTCTAATCTAAAGTAGCTATTTGAAGCAATTTGGTGCCTACATTGACGAAACAGGATCTCCTCCTCCCCCCAGGAAGCTGTAAATCAGTCAGTGACATCTGGCCTCAAGGACATCAGAGTCATCTGAAATGTGGTAATTTATATTAATGAATATCAATATTAATTTTTAAATAAA